ATGGCTACCATCCAAAAGACAAACAACAACATATGTTGGCAAGGTTGTGGAGAAAGGGGAATCCTCCTACACTGCTGGTGGGAATGTAAATTAGTTCAACCATTGTGGAAAGCAGTATGGAGGTTCCTCAAAATACTCAAAGTAGACATACCATTTGACCCAGGAATTCCACTTCTAGGAATTTACCCTAAGAATGCAGCACTCCAGTTTGAAAAAGACAGATGCATCCCTATGTTTATTGCTGCACTATTTACAATAGCCAAGAAATGGAAGCAACCTAAGTGTCCATCAGTGGATGAATGGATAAAGAAGATGTGGTACATATACACAATGGAATATTATTCAGCCATAAGAAGAAAACAAATCCTACCATTTGCAACATGGATGGAGCTAGAGGGTATTATACTTAGTGAAATAAGCCAAGTGGAGAAAGATGAATACCAAATGATTTCACTCATATGTGGAGTATAAGAACAAAGGAAAAACTGAAGGAACAAAACAGCAGCAGAATCACAGAACCCAAGAATGGACTAACAGTTACCAAAGGGAAAGAGACTGGGGAAAATGGGAGGGTAGGGAGGGGTAAGCACGGTGAAGAAGGAAGAGGGTGTTACGATTAGCATGTATAATGTTGGGGGAGGCATGGGGAGGGCTGTGCAACACAGAGAAGACAAGTAGTGATTCTACAACATCTTACTATGCTGATGGACAGTGACTGTAGTGGGGTTTATAGGGGGGATTGGGGCAGGGGAGAGCCTAGTAAACATATGTTTTTCATGTAATTGTAGACTAATGATAACAAAATTTTAAAAAAAGATAAAAAATAATATAATATTAATAAAAAAATACTGACATGGCTTATTTGCTCTTTTCCTTCAGGTCTCTGCTTGAATGTCAGCTAATAAAATAGGCCTTCCCTGACTATTCTGTATTGAAACATTAGCAACCAGAAAAATCTCTCAATATCACCTCTGGAAGCTTCCACCTCCCTCATCCCACTTTGTTTTACTTCCATAGACATTATTACCATATATAGGATATTTTTAGTTATGTATTTATTTATAGCTGTTTCTCCTTACAAGTATGTGAACTCCTTAAACCAGAGATGTTGTTTTGTTCATTGCTGTATCCTCAGTACCCAGAATATTATTTGACCCATAGTAGTTGCTCAATAAGTATTTGTTGAAATGAATGAATGCATGAATAGAACTATATCCAGGACTAGAGTAATTTGCTCATTCTTCTTCCCTACTGTAGATATTAGCCTTGGTTCAGTCTTTAGCATTGCTTATATAACATTCCCTCACTATGTTTGTGTTCATGTTTTTAGCCCCATAGCAGGTACTGATACAGACTTTTGTGACTTTGCTTTCTGAAGATATATAGTGCTTTTAACAATCCATACTTTTTCAAATTAAACATACTCTATCTCTTGCCGGATAGTGATGGAGTAGTTCCTACTGTCACTGCCAGGCCTCAGGATCATATTTCCCAAGGAAGGGTTCTTCTCAAGCATCTCAGTTGCTTCTTTCCGGGATACTGTGTAAAAACATCTACGGAGGTGAGATTAAAAAACAGAAATGTTTTAACTGATAAAGATCACTACTTTTATTTATCTTTTTTTTTAAGCTGTCATTCATATATAGTCTTATGAAGGTTTCACATGAGCAACATTGTGGTTACTACAATTGCCCCTATTATTAAGTCCCCACCACATACCACATACCCCACCATAGTCACTGTCCATCCACATAATAAGATGCTGTAGAGTCACTACTTGTCTTCTCTGTGCTATACTTCATTCCTCGTGCTTCCGCTATATTATGTGTGCCAATCATAATATCCCTTAATCCCCTTCTCCCTCCCTTCCCACCAACCCTCTCCAACCCCTTTTCCTTTGGTAACTGCTAGTCCCTTCTTGGGTTCTGAAGATCACTACTTTTAAAAAATACTGCTGAAATGACTCTAAGAGCTGCAGTTATTAACATTTCTTAAAATTTCCAGTTTTATTACTGTAATTTCTATGATATAATTACAATTACTATTATTATAAGCCTATGCCACTATGAATATGCTTATGCTCAATAAGGCTCTCCTTCCCTCATTCCTCCAAAGCCTCTTTCTTTGACCAAAGAAGACCTGAAAATTTATCTATTAATCAGTTCTATTGCATACTAGAATATCTGTATTCTATATCTATAATCAGATCTACCGATATATAACATAAGATAAGAATTAACAATGTACCCCAAGTTTCATTTTATAACCAGCTCTTGGATAAATAATATTTGCTGGTGGTTTCTTTTCAGGGATGTAAAAAATCTCTATACATGCCTTTCTTGTATAGTTTCTGTTTTAAGTAACTGATATTTAAAGGTATGTGTGAATTCACTCCTTTTGGTATAATATAACATGGCTTCCTAATGGCATTAGTGGTATTTTTATATGTCCAGTTTTTAAGAAAGCACTTCTCTTTTCTATAGGAATAGTGTAGATAATAAAAAGTTTATTTTTCAACAGAAAAAAATATCTGGCAGGATGTGCAGTACACCAAAATGTTAACAGCAAATCTCAGTGGTGGGACAAGGAATTCTTTTAATCTTTTTATTTATCTATAATAAATATACATTACTTTTTATTGAGGAAAAAAAAAGTAATGTATATGACATTTAACCTACCAATTCATCCGTTGTCACTGGTTTCAGCTAAGAGTTGGCAGGTTTCAGCAATTGCAGTACAGAAAGAATATGCATCAGAACATGATGTCAGAGATGGTACCAGTACAAGTTTCATTGACCAGAAGAACGAGATTCCAGGAGGGAAAGGCTCACAATCTTAGTTACACTTTTCAACAATGTAAGAGTGAAAAATAAATGTAAAGTGCTGCTGACTTGAGCATGTTCAGTGCCTTTTCATTTCTCAGCAGCACTTATCACACTTTACACAGGGCTTCTTCAAAATACAAGATGAGTGACTACTCATTGATGGACTGTACAACTGAATAGGACATTCGGATATTTTAAATTCTTTGGTATAACTTTCTGTAGAAAATCAGTCAATCAGAGTTGCCGTGTAGAAAAAAACATCTTTTCCTTCTTTCTACATAGCAGTTTTTATTTTGGTTTGAGCTTTGCAAAGAATAGTATTTGATCTACATGTGTAGGTGGAAGGGGATTTCCTGCATGGTAAGAGGGCTGGTTCAAATCTGTATTTTGCGTTTTGTTGATCGTGACATAGAAGAGGAAATGTGGCGTGTACTCAGAGATAGGTTGTATATCTACAAGACAGCTTATTGTCCCTGGTTTAATCAGGTCACTGAATAACTAGCTTAGATAATTTTGCAATGAATATTAACAATCTAATAAATAAACTGGAGTTCACAGTGTACTTACGCTGGCATAGGGTTCAGTACATCCACATAATCTTCAATTGGTTCCTTCTCCTTTTCCATAGATGAACTCAGCATCTGCTCTGTTTCAGTCCTCCTTTTCTTTTCTCTCTCTAGGATTTCATGCAGTCTGATTACTTGCCCAGGAAGGAGTGACACATGTTGGGGAACTGACAGCTGAAACCAATTAAAGTGGTAGGCAACGGGAAAGCAGAATAATGAACTGATTTTAGCAAAGATGAGCCTGGTCTGGTCTTAAGGAGCTGCAGTTACAGGACAGAGATGGATGGGTAGAATCATGAATAGAGGGCCATGGTGTCTTAGAACTTCCTCTACACCAAGTAGAACCTGCAAGGGTGCCCAGTCTTCTTCCAAGAAGTGTTCCTTTTATCTGGCCCCAAAGTATACCCACCGTAACCTACAAGTTAATTCAAGTAACAACAAATCTCTCATTTTTCATTCTGAGCTCGCTAGTTCTCACTGCCCGGAAGTCCCAAAGCATGTGCAAAGCACCTAGTTTCCCCACAGCTAATCTGGACAAAGCCCCAGCAGCCATATGGCAACATGGTGTTCAGATAGTTCATTTGATGACTGAGAATCAGCAATCGGAGACCCATATTTTGGTGTGTTTGTGTGTATATTTCAAACTTTAATTCACACTTTAGGATTATAATACTGCTCTACTTAATTAGGGTTTTTTTAACCTTTCCTAGAGATGTGTTTTAGATTGAGTCATCTATATCCTCCTGATCTTTATTTATAGCATTGATTTAGAGCTGATTTAGACGTATTTACGTTATCTTATTCCTATTACTGTTATATTTTACAATAGATATGTAAGTATACATTCATGAAATTTGAAATAACATACTAATAAGGGTACATAATCAAAAAGATTTTGAGACTGTTCTTCTGGATAACTAAGCTCACTAATAAACAGCAAAACTATTTCCTTATATGCCATTTCAGAAAAAAATAATTGAGTGAGGAAAAACTAATGAAACAGCTACTGCTTTTTAATCGCCTGTTATGTCCCAAGCATGGTGCTGCTGTAAATACTCATAACAATGCTACATGATAGGTATTGTTACCCCTGATTTATAAAAGAAAAAAACAGGCTCTGAAAGAGTAATTAACTTTAGTCTAGGGTCACATAGCTAGAAAGTTGTGGAACCAGGACTCAAAGTCCAGTATTTTTAATTCAAAAACAACATCTCTGCTCTTTCAACTACACTCTGTGTTTCTCAAACTTCTGCTGAAGAATTTTATTGCACATCCTGTAATATGCCTATACACGTTTTAATATAAAAATGATGTGTTTTGTCCTTACCTCAAGGAAGAAACTAATAATAATTTTTTGGGAGGCCAAAATATCGAGGTATAATTAGTGTACCAGGAAGATACATGCCGAAGTTTTCCCAGTGGTTATTGTACTCCTTGACACCTCTTCACATACACTGGGGATATTTGTCTCTCAATGTAAGAAGTGCCAGACTACACAATGGCACCTTTCCGCAACAGAGGGAGAGAATGCAATTCCCCAGAGTTCCTTTCTCCTGCCAAGTTAATATGTCTCTTACTTATTTAACTGGGCCACTTTTCCAGCCCCCTCTGATTTCCATACATGGTAGTTGAACCTCCACCTTTTACCTATTGTTGGCTGAGATAAAGAACGGGCATCCATCATCTCAGTAAAGTGCAGAGCTTATTTCGTGTGATAGCAAAGCATTTACTTATGAACTAGCTTTGGACAAGGTCTATATTTAACTAACCCTAATAAACAGAAAATTTTCTTATCCTCTGAAAGTATTAGAGAGCATAGTGCTCTTTTGGGGGCTAGTTATTAAGTACCTAACATTTCTAAGACAGTTGCTATAGTGGCTTTATTTAAAATAATGTTAGTTATCTTTGCTGCAACAGATAACTATAAGCAGTGGATCATACTATTTGTCATGATATGATGTCACAGATTTGAACAAGTAAGCATCCATTCATCTTAATACTCTTTAAATAAATATTTACAGGTGACTTTTCATTTTGATGGGCTCTCCATCAAATGAATTGTTATATTCTCTTTGTTATTCATAAAATCCATCTCAATTAGCATTTTATAAATAAGTATTAAAAGAATAAGAAAAGAATTGGAAAGTATTTTAGAAGATGCTATACGAACTACAAATATCGGAATATGTAAAAGGAACATGTGTCAAAGGGTAAGACCAAAAAGTATATGTCCTGGACCACCTGTCATTCTCTAGCTAGCACACTGCCCTGTTTATTTTCTTCATAACAATTACCACAGTTTTCAATTATCTTATTTACTTACTTATTTTCTTTCTTCCTCTCCACTCAACAAAAACATAAATTCCATGAGTAAGTGAAAGGATTCATATCTGTCCTTTTCAATTGCTGTATCTTCAGTCCCCTTTCACACTGTATGGTTCATAGTATGTGTTCAGTAAATACTTGTTAAATGTATCAATCAATAAAAAGTAATGTCTTCCTACCTCTGTTACTGTAAGAATGAAGCGTCTCCATTCTTCCCCACTTTCTGTGTTTTCTGTCTAAAGTTGAAGACAAAAACAGATAAAGACAAAGAATTAAAGACACAAATGACTATGAACATCAGTACTTTTATTAACTTCAAATAGTAACTTTAGAATTTCATGATTGTTTTATAAAGACTCAAAATATGTAAGCCATCAAAAACCAGAAGATTGACAAAATGTATATCCTTCTATTAAGGCACATTGTTTGAAAAAGTAAATTGTAATTTTTTAAACCACTTAAAAGTAGTTGAAAAGAAAATACAATTCATTTTCCTTTTCCTTAGAACTATTAATGTGTCTTATGAAATTTCAATAATATTTTTTGTTAGAAGACAGAAGTATATAGCTTTAATCTGTTTGCTTATTAAACAAGTAAAATTGTACAAATTTGACTCAAAAAAAGTATTAAATGTTAGCACACTTATTTCTACAATATGTTAGTTTTTGTTTGCTCCCCTCATTGATATTTAACATTGACTTGCTTTAGGTTTGGAGGACCAGGAAATTTTCTAGTTATTAGCTTTAAATATTACTAATACAGACAACATTTATTAAGTGCTTATATGTGGTTATAAGCACTTCACATGTATTAGCTGGTTTAATTGTCATGTAAACTCTGGAAAAGGTACTATTTTTATTTTACAGATTTGTTCTTAGACATTTATTGAGTGCCTTTAAGTGTTGGGCACTCTTCTAAGTAGTTCTTTACATCAGAGAACCAAACAAATATCGTTGTTCTCATGGAATTTAACATCTAGCAAGGAATAACAAACAATAAATGTAATAGCAAATGTTATTAAATGAAGAGTGGGATAAGAGAGATTGGGAATGCCACTAGGTGCTAGGGGAGGAGAAAAGGGTTGCAATTTTAATAAAGGGAACCAGTAGGCTCAGTAAGAGAGTTACATATGAGTAAAGACTACACTTCTGGATGAATCAACAAAGGCACAAAGAGGTTAGGTAAGTTGCCTACAAATACACAGCTAATGAATAAAACAGCCAGAGTTCAAACTTACGCATCTGACTCCAATCCTCTGCTCCCAACTACATCAGAATCATCTGGAGAGATTCTGGCTCCAGGGGTGGAGCCTAGACTTCCTAAGTACAAGCGATGCCTAGTAGAGTAGTGCTCCCTTACCTGCAGAGGATGCATTTCCAGACCCTCAGTGAGTACCTGAAACCACAGATAGTACCAAACCCTATACATACTGAGCTTCTTCCTATTCATATATAGCTATGATAAAGTTTAATTTATAAACTGGGCACAGTAAGAGAGTAAGACAAGAACTAATAATAGAACAAAGTTATGTGAATGTGGTCTCTCTCTCAAAATATCTTATTGTACTATATTCACCCTTTTTCTTCTTGTGATATAAGATAATAAAATGCCTGCATGATGAGAAGAAGAGGTGAATGACATAGGCATTGTGATGTAGTGTTAGGCTGCTGTTGACCTTCTAACTATATGTCAGAAGAGGATCATCTTTTTCCAGATCATGGTTGACCGCAGATAACTGAAACCATGGAAAGCAAACCTCAGATAAGGTGGGGCTAGTCTGCTTTAAAGTTTAATGACCAATGTTCTCTTTATGGTATTACTGTAGCTGTTGATTGACTTTACTTGGCTACTTTGAATGCCAATTCAAGAAAAACTTTTTTTTTCTATATAGATGCTACGCATACAGTGGAGATTCTAACCAACAGATCTCTTCTGTTGTGTGGAGTTTAGTTTTATGAGAATACTTTACTTCACAAATTGGGTATATCTAATAATACAGCTCTCACTCAGATATTTCTAATTTAACAATCATGTTCTTCATAGCTTTTGGTTTTTTGTTTTGCTGTTTTTCCTTTTGTGATCCAGGAGCCAATCCAGGATCACACATTGTATTTAGTTGTTATGACCCCATAGGCTCTGTAATTTGGAACAGGTGTCCAGTCTTTCTTTGGCTTTTCTTATACAGATAGTTTTGAAGAGTATAGGCAAGCCAATTGCTTGAAGAATGTCTCTCAATTTGTGAAATATGGGTTTGTCTAATTCGGTGGATTTCAAACACGTGTCATGTTGGATATGTCTCAGAATCATCTGGGAACCTGATGAATGCCAATTCAAGAACAACTTTTTAAAAACACCAGATGGGATTTCTGACTTTGTCAGAGGACACAAGTATATGGTTTCCATGTACTTGTATACTAAACAAATGAACATGCCCTTTTAAATCCCATTTAGAAAACGAGTTCTTGGCAAAAGGCATGAAATGTTAACAAAGTGTTAAGACTTGGCACTTCTCTTATAATTCCTCTTTACCTCAGCCACTGGGTTGTGAAGAGGTGAATACTATTTATAGTTGCAACTTGTTTCAGACTAACTGCTTCTCCTCACTCACCTTCAGTTGCACTTCCTCTTTTGGCAAAACAAGGGTGAATTTTGCACAATTCTTTTCAGTTGAATTCTGGTCAGTAAGACATGTGAGGTCTATTATGTCTAACTTGTCAACATACTGCAAAAATAAAGGGAAAGCTCATTAAATTATTTCATGGGTAACATAGATTAGTTCTAGCAGGAAGGCATGTAGGTAATATTTTCTTTTCCTCTGATATGTACTTTGTATGGTGTCCTGGTTTTCCATTCGGCACATCACCCGTTAACCCAGAGGGCATTTGGAAATGTATTATGTGGTGGTGTGCTGGATGGGACTCATACAGGTTTGAAAAACCGTTGTTAAATTTTCAGCAATTTTCCAAGCTGGTTGTTAGGCACAGCCATTATTAACATTTAATTATATAAACATACAGGTAAATATATTATATTAAAAACAAAAGTTATTAAATGTTTTTAAAATTCAAAAGTCATCATTTTAAGTTACATCACTACACAGTATTCACTAAGTTCTTGAGGTTATTTACGTCTTCATTTCTGTGTGGTGGTAATACTACATAACGGTACACTACCACTATACCTTTCTTTCCAACTCCATGTTCAGTAAGGTCCATTGATAAGGTGAAATCAACCATGGTGGGACAATATACACCATGGAAACTGGAAAACTTAGAAGTTAGGACTTGACATTGTTTTGTTATTTGTTGTAGGGGGCAGCAATCTTTTTTCTGCAAAGGCTAGATAGTAACTGTTTTAGGCTTTGTGAACCATATGCAGTCTCTGTTGTAAATTCTTCTTCCTTTTTAACAACACTGTAAAAATGGTGAAAACATTCTTAGCTCTCGACTGTACAAAATCAGGCCTCAGGCTCTACTTGACTCAAGGGCTATAGTTTGCTTGCCTCTGGTCTAAGCTAAAGAAGTGGAGGAGAAAATGTTAATAATGCAGATGAAACTTTAAAGTTCGTTGCGTCTGAAGCTTTTTCACTGTGAACAGAACAAAAAAACTGACAAAATATTCTACCATAACTCAGAAACTATTATCTTATTCAGCAAAGAATTTGCTCATATCCTTAACTAAGAGGTCGAAGTTCTGACTTGGGTAATTGTTGTTTTACTTTCTTATTCATTAATATACATAAAAATATCAGCCAACATTCATGTCATATTTAATGACAATAAATTTATGAGGGAAACGGTAGACTGAAAAATGACTCCATTTGTCAAATCATGATTGAATGACAGTCATAGTTGGCTGCAGATACAAGTTCAGAAAAATCAACAAAGTATCCTGTGAGAGTCAATTGCTTATATGGAAGTTACAGAAAAGAATATTTTATATTTTATTTTTTAACTATGTATAACACATTACTCATATCACTAATATTTATAATAAATTTATATGAACATATGCATATAAACTTTTTTTCCAAAAGCCCATTGTTCAATACTTACCACAGGCCACTGGTTATGAGGATCCTATTGAGAAATTCCTATCTTATCCCAATATAATAAAAATGTTTCTTCTGAGCAAGTGATCTATATGGACTGATCTGTATGCAACTGGCCAGACATGCTCTCTAATATTAGAAAGATTAGGACTACTTCATGTAAGCATAGTAGAGTTTTATGGTTTTTAGGTTTTGTAGGGTTTTTAATTTTTTGCTAATTTAGCCTCATTCTTGACTTTTTTTAATCTCCTTTTATTTTCCTATGTTGTGCCCAATATCTTACTTTACTATGTTCTTGTAGGTCTTCTTATTTTATTTTTCTCAATAAAGTAAGGCATAAAAAGAAGTAAATAAATTTTATCCAGAGCTTTTTGTATATTGATGGGGTTGAGGGTAAGTTTGCATTAACCTATTTTTTTTCAATGAACAGAGAACAACTAAAAATGGAAGGAGAAATATATGGGAAGGAGGACAGTATTTAAAATACACCAAAATCTTTTTCTGATGGATTGTCTAGATCAAGCTCAGCAAATTTTGCTGAGACAAAGGAGGAAACAACAGAGGAAGAAGTGGCTGAGTAAGATAGTGTGGTAAACTGATCTGTTGATTAGAAGAAAGGAAGTCATATCTCTGTTTTTAAATGTAGTGTTGAAAGAGGCTTAAAGGTCATCTGTCTAATCTAGCTGCCCCCTGATGCTTGAATCCCTCCATCTCCCCATGTAGTATCTCCCCAGGTAGTCATCCAGCTTCTGTTGTACCACCTTGAACAACATGGAACTCATGCCTCCAAGCAGCTCTGCCTGCTAGCAAGTTTTTTCTTGTATTAAGCCACAATTTTCTCCAGACTATTGGTGCTATTTCCATCCATTCGTCCTATTGCCTTCTCTGGAATAACGTGAAACAAATTCAGTGACTCTTTCACGTGACCCTGACAGCCTTTCAAATATTTGAAGCCAGCTTTGAGTTCTTCCCTACCATAGGCTATCTACAATTCTCACCTGTTTTAGCCCTGTGCTTTCTCCTCAGATTATTGTAAAAAAAAAAATCTCCTAAAAATTCTACATCCTTTTAACAAATTTGTAGGTGGGCATTTCTGCCGCATTGCATTAGAAGTCTTTTATGAGACTAAAGAAACTCTGTGAAATTAAGAATGCTGTCTCAGGAGCAAGACCTAGATTATACCCCTTTCAATTAGTTGTCTGATCTTGCATGATTTCTTAATCCTTAAATTTGTTCTTATCCATAAAGCATGGATTAAAATAGTACCCACTCTGCAGACTTGGTGTGAGAATTAAATGAGATAATGCATGTAAAATGCTTTAATGTTTACTAGGTACCAGTTAGTTACTCTCTTAGGTCCTTATATTTACTATCTCATTTAATCCTTTTCATAACTTTATGAGATACACTACTCTTTTCATCCTGATTTTAGAGATTCGAAACTCAGTTATGAAATGTGTTGAAAATCTTTCATTTGCTGCTTCAGATTCACTTTTTTTTGCTTCATAATTTTTTTATTGAAGTATTGTTGATATACAATCATATATTGGTTTCAAATATACAACACAGTGGTTCAACAGTTAGGTCTATCATTAAATCCTCACCTCCACTAGTGCAGTTACTATCTGTCAACATAAGAAAATGTTATAGAAATCATTGACTAGTCTCCATGCTGTACTGCTATCCTCATGACCAACTTATATTATGATTAAAAATTTTTGTGCCCCTTTATCCCCCTCACCTTCCCTAGCTACCCACCCCAACCCCTCCCCCATGGTAACCACTAGACACCTGTCAGTGTCTATGACTACTGCTGTTTTGTTCCTTCTAGATTCACTATTACCCCTTCACCACCCAACACTGTGTACCAGGGCTTGTATGGACAACATCAAGGGTTCCCTACCCACTGACTTCCTGTTGGGTTGGGCTGGTGAACACTGGCAGAAGATCAGAGGAGTGAGGAGAGTGAGGTCAGGTATGTACTACACTGCAATGGCTTCCTCAAAGCATACTCATCTCAAGGGAGTCATTTTCACACAACTCTTCCCACTGTTCTCTCTCTCTTTCCTTTGCTCCCACATGTGGTCATGGGTCACTGTTACTAGCCTCAGAATTCTATACTATTCTTTATGGTTTTCCTAAATCCTGTCCACTGCTTTGAATATACCATCTTCATTAAACTCTTCAAAATGTCCAATTGGAGATGTCATCTGTTTCCCACCAGTTCCCTGTCTAATTAATATTCTGAGACACAGAGAGGTTAGGTAGCTCGCCCCAAATCCCGTGATCCCACAGTTAGCAGTAGCAGGGCCAGGAAAAACCCAAACAGTCTGACTGAAGACCAGGCTGTCAATCACTAAGCTGTATGGCCTCTTGCCATGTTGTAAGTGAGCAGTAACTGTTAGCTTTCTCACTTATGTGTATTATGCAGGTTTGGGACCAGGGTCTTTTGAAGCTGTACTAACATTAAGTCAGAAGTCACAACAAGAAGTTACTTTGTTAAAGTTTATTATGGCATTTGAAAACACCTTTATATTAATCTTGTCTATCTGAAATTGTGGTACAAGATGACCAGTTTGCTTTTTTAAATAACTTCTGGTGAATTTACCACTAATGCCACTGATATGCCTATAGGTAGAATAATCAGGTGAACTCCTTGTTTCTTTCATCAGATCTGGACGTCTGATAAAGATGTTCTAAGAAGTGTGAGTTACTACACCCATGGTCCAGAATGTTTATAGTTTAAAAAGTTACTGGATCATAAAATCTCTAAAAAGCACAGCATTCCAAGAGAGACAAGTGTTTACCACTAAAGTACTCCATTTTGTTTGTGGAAAAAATGAAATGCACAGTTTCAATTTTTTGTGGAAAAACAAATATAATCGATTATTTTATATTAATAGGAATAAATAAATCTGTTTATTGTTATTCTTATGCTTGAGCTCTTAGAAGTCCTGCTTAAATTGTTACATAATGTATGTTGTGAGGCTTTGGGGCTCACTTTATTCCTTTAGATTTTAACCACATGCTACAGCAAGATAAAAAGCAGAGGAAATTGAGGCTATTACTTGGTATTAGGCAATTTGTATGCAGATGTCTAGCTAGAATTTTCACCTTTCAACTGAGTTTTTATTGTCAGGATCAGAAAGAAAAAAATACAAAGTTAAAAACATGAGTTAATACCTTCTTCTGAGTTGACCAGGAAATTTTACCGTGGGTTTTATAAATAGCCCTCACAGGGCAAAAAAATGAGCTTATTTGATTTGAATTTACCAAAAATGCTTACTCTTTGAAGGCAGAAAATCCCAAATGAATAACATTATGTGACAAGTGTACAGTAGGGAAAAATTGAATCCATTTAACTACTTACTATGGTACTTTTTTTGTCAGCATAAAAGAAAAGTGTAGTTCCTCTCAACTCTGTCCAATAATGTTTATACTCCTGTGGAAAAGAAGTCACAAGCATTATTCCATTAGTGCATATTCAATTATTTTCCTATTGATATTTTCCTTCATTGCTTTCATAATTGCTGTGTAATACAAGGTTCTTCTTTATCCTGAGATAAGTCACCTAATTTTTATGGCTTAATTTTGCATTTAATTCTTGACTGAATCCTTCACAAATTAATTTTAGTATGAAGTGTGAGGTAAGGATGTAATCTGAACTGTGCTGAAATAGATCATTTTCCAAAAGTTTCCTCATTGATTTAAGACACTTCACTTCTTATACAGTTTGATTAGAAGCTTGTATCTGCAACAGGGGCCATTTAAGGGGTCAAGATAGGACAGACATTTAATATGTACCTTCCAGCTAAAAAGACTGAATAAATTAATACATGTAAAGCATTTAGCATAATACATGGCTCATAGTTTGGGTTCAGTAAATATTCTATATTTATATAAATCAAGGAAATGTGATAATGATAAAATAATCTAACACAAACTTCAAAGCTGAACTTTGAAGTCCAAATTTCATTCATGTGGTGAACATTTTATTAGTAATACATTCACATTATTATGAGTTCTATAGAAATACGTTTTAAAAACTTAAATAATTTATTCAGACGTTGATTTCCCTGAAATGAGTCTATTTAATAAGAGAAACTTACATTCTATGAATATTGGCTATGTTACAAAAGAATGGCAATGGAACATAAAGAATAAAATCCTTTTACATCTGAAGATTTATCTTCAGATCCAGCTCTTTCCAAAAGTTTTTAAAAATTCCAGTTTCACAGACATGTTGATCATTCCTTCCTTTAGGGTGCAATAAGCTGAATTTTTGTAACATGTTGTTTATCTTGACTTAAATCGAGGATTAATGTAAGAAAATCACATGTAGAAATTTTTTCTTTTTCTTATGAATGTGAAAACACATGTATTATGGTATTTTGTGTCTCTTTAATACAGACATATCATTTATCCCTTTTAACATATCCAGCAAAATGTTTGTTACCTCTTAAGAATTTACATACTTATTTTCTAAAGTAAGAGGAATTCTATAATCCATCTTGCTTTTATTTGCCTTGGTTATCAGGAAGCTCAAGATTAAATTCATTCTAATTACCACCATTTTTCTTGTGTTCTTAGTAGAACTATTTGCTCACTTTGTCTTCATGGCTAAGATAATATTTTAGTTAGCTTTTACTATGTAACAACCCACCCTAAAATTTAGTGAACTGACACAGCAAACATTTTCTATTTCTCATCTTTCTGTGGTTGACTGATGATTCTTTGGATCTAGGTATACTTGGATGTGGCTGAGTGGGCCAAGGTGGCCTCACTCACTTGCCTGGGCTCTTAGCTGGGAATGCAGAACAACTGAGAGTGGAATCATAAGAAATATCTTTGTCTGCTAGTTCCTAGCATAGAGATCCCCAAACCCTGGAATTTCCTGAATAATTGAGGTGTTTTTGTTATTCATAATGAACCCCTTTAATTATACCTAAGTTTATACTAGTGAGATGACTTAGGATGAGACCCTTAGACAAGCTTCAGAATGGGCCTGGTAGCCAAAAGGGACAATCAGAAGGTTGGAACTATTAGTCCCATGCACCAACCTCCAGGAAGGAGGCATGGTAGGGATGCGCCTGGAGATTAAACTTTATAAAAACTCTGAAACAGTGAGATTTGATAAGTTTCCTAACTGGTGAATACATCCAAGTGCCAAGAGGGTGATGCACCCCCAACTCCACAGTGACAATACCTGTGTTTGGGATCCTTCTAGACCTTGCCCTACAAACCTCTTCATCTGGCTGTTCATTTGTATCTTTTAACCAGTAAATCTAAGTGAAGTGTCTTCCTGAGTTCTGTGTGCCATTCTAGTAAATTATTAAATCTTAAGAGAGGGTCATGGGAACAGAGGCACTGAGTTGAGAATAAAGGAAGCCTGGAGGAAAAGATTACAAATAGCAATAGGCTTGGTGAACTCCAACCACAGCCGCAAACCTAAGGACAGATCAAACATATTTGGTATGCAGAGAACTGCATGTGATGGTCTTAATCAGTTTGTGGTAAGTTTTTGTGAATACCAGTATCATTTGAATCATCTATAAACATCAATCTCAATAATCAAGATCTAGATATATATTTATAACTACAGTGATCTATTAATATTTTAAAAATTAATTTTGAGGGATATATTTTCAAATGAAAGACATTTAGCACAAAGTCCCTTACTTTTTAGCAATCATTTGTGTTGAATTGCTAAAGTAAGAAAAGGTACGAAAATGGGACTTTTGAATTTATTTCTAGCTTCATAATCACTAGATGACTTTGTATTTAGAGTTTAACATCATTATCTCATTTTCATTCAATTTTAAACAAATGCTTTTTTGTCAGACTGAGCTTACTGATGAGCTCAGTGTGATAAAGAATTCAGTGATAAGGCATCTTCAACCTTTGAAAGCCCACAATCAAATGGAATGAGAACTTTAATTTGAGAGGCAGCGTGGTGTCAAAGACTTTGCAATAAAATCCAAGCTAGGCTCCTTAATGGATGAGCAACCTGAGTATAACCTCTGTGAGCCACAACTCACTCACAGGTGAAGTGGATAAAATAACTTTTTCCCAGGAGAGTTACTGTAAGGATCAGAGTGATAGGACATTAAGAGCCTAGCATGGTATCTGGGTATATCAACATCTCAAGAAAATTATCCATTATCATATAGTCCATTTGGTCCCCAGAACAATCCTTTCAGTTATTCAAGAGAGTAATTACACCGTCTACGAAAGAGGAAACACATTAAAAGGTTTAAAGGAATTGCCCAAGTTCTAAGTTGGACTGATAGCTGCAGCTCCAGGATCCCCTGTACTCTTTTCTCATTGATGTAACTGGTACAAATGGGTTACAATGCAAAATCCAGTTAATATCCTGTCCCTAATAAGAAGTTTCCACTTTTTTTCTTGTGAGCAAGTAAAGTACCTTTGCTCCAGGAAGGATGTTATATAGTGGTCTCCAAAGTGGGCATGTGAATCCCAGAGGTGCATAAGAGAAATGTTTAGAATATCTATTTATATTTCATTTACCTTATCTTTCTTACTTTTTTTGCATATATTAAAGAATTTGCTTGGAATATTAGCACAGGAATATATATAATTTCTAAGTAAATTAGTGTTCTTATATTAGAGAACTGTGCTCAAATGTTTTCTTGGAAGGCATGTGTTACTTTAAAAATTTGGAAATTACTGGCAGAGAACTATGTTTGAGAGCACAACTGAGATAGCCCTGAATTTTTCCTGAATGAATTAGTCACAATTAGAGGACTAGTGAGAGAAATGTTATTCTGATACTATTATGATGACCACATTCTTATGTTCAAGCTGATAAGAAGACATATCATACATATTGATTTTTAATTTTAGCATATCACAGATTGAAGAAACTATGAGATGTTGCACAAACTCTCTTATTTTCAAATAGCTCCAGGTTTTCCTTGTTTGTAAGAACTGTGTTGCCATTGATATCCTGTTGCGGCATTTAATAGCTCTTATTATCAAATAAGGCTTCCTTATCCATCCCAAATTCTAGTGCTGTGGTTTAAATAAATCTTCCCATGTTATCTTTTCCACGAAGATTATGTGCTTTTAATGAGTTCTTGACCTGGGATCCACGGACCTTCTGGAATTGCATTAAAATGGTGTATGTTGGCACCTGTTTCTAGGGGTAAAATTCCTTAAATTCTTAGAAGTGCTCCTGTCACAAAACTCGCAACATGTAATGTCCTTATGGACCAGATTACTCTTCAGTTGTATTTTCTTTAGCTTAACTGTTCTGAATTCCTCCATCAAAGACACCACTTATTCTGCAATTTAACTCAATGAAATAACACTGTGGTGAACAGGCCTTGCAATTAGCTTCTAGTCAACTTCCTCTAGCCCATTTGCTCCAAAGATAACCTTTAGTAATACCCTTGGTTCACCTTTTTTTCCAAAGGTTCCCTGGCACTTTGCTCCTGCTTGCTTAGAAATCCTACTATTTTCCATAGCGTTTTCTTGCTGCTACTATTTCTCAATGCTTAGAAGAAATCCCACTATTTTCTTTAGCTGCTTCTCAATGCTTCTATTTTCAAACACTATCACTGTGGCTTTCCTTTGAGCCATATTACTTGTGAACTCAAAATTGATTTTAGTATGTTAATGAGAAAATGGTAAATAATGAATGGAAGGAGAATGAATCTAACTCTTGTGGGAGCAAGATGTTTTACAGTTTTATATGTCATCCCTTTAATTCTTGAAACCACCCTGTAAGTTGACATTATTGTCATCCTTTTACTCTCTTCTCCCTCACATACAAGGAGAAGATACTTTGCTGTGAATTCAAGCGGAAACAGAAGTTAATTTCATTAGAAATATTTATACCTATAGTTTAATCTTTCCATTTCAAAGCATGCTTTTTAAGAAAACATATTGGATAAGGAAGTCATCTAAACTAAGCCTCTTGAAGGTAGGGTCTTTGTGTATTATTCATATCTCCAGAACTGAGTATGATACTAGGTGCATAGGCGGCACACAGTAAAAGGTGTTGAGTGAATAAGTTGATTGAGCACCAGCTGTATCCCAGGCACTGTACATTGGGAGGCCAGTCATATTCTCTCCATTTTATAGTTGAGGAAACTGAGTTGAGGAAAAGGAGATAAAGTAATTTGTATAAGATCACATGCTGTTAAGTGGCAAAGCCTCAGGTAAAGACATGTTTTACTGACACTCTAAAATCCTTGTTCTTTCTGCTAACCACATCAATGACATGACTTCTTTGAACATTAAAAAGAACCCATTATCAGAAACAGTTATTGTAATTACCTTTATAATAGTGGAAATACTATAATTAAAATAATATAATAGGAAACTTCAATGAATAACCAAATTTAAATTACAAATTAGAAATTTCTTTTCCTAATTCCTCCTTCCTGACAAAGTGTAACAATGTGGCTAGCCTGTGACGACAAGATTGAATTCATTTTAAAAACATACAGAATCATTCAAAAATATTCTAATTTAACTGACAAATATTGCTAATACATGTTTAACATCCCTAACAGAATACAAATAACCATGTCTTTACTCTCAAATAGTATAAATATACAAGAAATATGAATACACTATTACACATACTTTCACATACATAGTTTTTCCATAAGTATTAATAAATCCTCAGAAAATATATTTTTATCATTATTAAACATTTCTTATAGCATTTCATTATCACTTATTAAACATTTCTTGAAACACCTAAATTTTTCTAGTTTCAGTTAGTATTAAAATTTCATAAAATTTCATCTAAGTTATTGATTTCTTTTTCTTTGGTAGCAAGCATTTTCATCTTTATTTCCCTTATTAATTTCAAATTATCCACAATTAGTATTTTAAGATCACTAATGATAAATTTTAATTTTTGTATTTTAAAAATATGAAATGCTTTCTGAATTTTCTTTGAGTAAATGTATGTATGTAGTTTAGTGTACATACTACCCAAGGAGCACCATATTATTTTTTTAAGTCACTACCTTGAACAGTGTTTTTATAACATACAACTATACATAATGTTAAACAGTATCAATTTTATCATTTTCACAATTTTTTACAAAATTGTTACCATTAAAAATAATTTGATCATTATTTTTAAACTTCAAAGAACTGAGAATTGGAGCAGAGGGTTTAATTTCAATCACATTATCATTTTATCTTAATGGTACACGTCATCGTGGAAGCAAATTAGTAAGTTGTAGAGAAAATACAGGAAACATTTTATCTTCTAAGCTAAAATATTCAGTGATGTTTAAGTGAAGTCTTTGGAAATACAGCTTACTAAATTTTTTATATGAGTGACAATATTAGAACCTTATGTTATACAAAATACATACATATATACAGCTATGTGTATAAGTTATACTGTATTTAAGTTGTACAAAACTGTAATCATATTTTTGAGCTCAATGAAGAGGGTTTAACTCCATCAGAAACAAGGATGCCCTTGTCATATTGCATCACCATGAAATAAGTTTTATATTAAGACAGAAGCTTCTTGTAACATTGTCATCTATGGACTTACCTGGTATTCTGACCGCTTGACTAATAAAAAACCATCAAAGTACAAGGGTAGCGCAGTAATCTTTAACCTTTCGTGGAAGATCTTTCGAGGGGCTGGTTTCGGGGGCTTCTTAGCCATCATACCCTCTCGTTGGTGTGTGGTTGGTTTCAACTGTATCCAGTCTCAAACAAAATGAGATCTCCCTTGTGTGAGAGGAAAAGGCAAAACTGTTCAAAGAGGAAGTCCCTACTCAATTTTTAACCAAAAACAGGACACACACACACACCCACACACATACTATTTTTTCCTTTACTTTTTGTGAGGTAAGAAAGAACAGGCATAGACCAACTTTCAGAGGGCAGTCTCTGAATAAAGTACATGTGCTTAGAATTACAGTAACAAAGTAAACAGAAGAGTAACATCAACAGAGGATGAAAGGAACTGATGTGGAAATTATGGACTTTAGATGAGTCATCAAGGTCATATTTGTTTTCTTTCACCTTTTTTTGTTTATTGCTGTTCATTTTTAACCCCAGAGAACATGACTTGAAATTTGAGCTACTCAAATTTAATGAACTCCCTTCATTAAAAATTACATCATAGGATAATTTTATTAGTACTATTTCTGCTGTAAATCTTTCAGGACTGAGCTTTGCTGAAATTTGTAGAAAAATGGAGCTACTTATCCTGTGCATATTTTGATGTTCCACTAAATGTAAAACACAGGTAAAGGAACATAGGATTTTTCACTTTTTTGTCAATAAGTAGTTTGAGTTTGTGGGTTACCAGTGGATATTTGGAAAAATATGTCTGGCAGAGAAAGCTACAAATTTTCAAAATTTTATTTTTTTATTCTTTCTGAGCTGAAGCTATGATTAGGATGCGTAGATGGGGTCCTGTAGCTCCAGGCCAGAGGGAGTTCCTAACTCTGGGCACATTCACTATGGATTTGATGAAACTGAAAAAATGACAGTGGAATGTTGGGGGTTAAAAGGGGCTTATGCCAAGCTTTATTCTTATGGTGGCAGGCCAAGCACTAGAATCCAGTCCACCTCCAGGGTAGTCTTCAAGAAGCAAATCTGTCTCTGTCTCTGCCTCTGCTCCAGGCTCTGCTGTCATCCCCAGCCTCTACTCTCTTCTTCCCTTAGCACTTGGAAGAGCTCTTTTTATATTACCACAGGCAGTATCCAAGCTGCCTGTGCAGTAGGCAGGGTAAGTATTACATTATTGTGCATTCATCATTAGTGAATAGGTTAGGATCAGGTGAGGATCCTGGCAATGGAACTTCCATTTTTCCTATAGGTCCCTACAGTTATCTAGTGAGATTTATAGAGCTACACTGGGGCCAAAATGTATTCAATAGCTATCTGCATGTGGAAATGGTCTTTGAGAGACTTGATTTGGCCTAGTACTGTGAAAGGAATGATGTGGGAAGTGTGTAATGGAAGGAATTTAGGGTTGTATTGCAGGGGTCCTGATAAGTTCTACTATTTCCTTTTTCACCCTTACTATTTCAGAATTATACTATTTCAGATTTGGTATAGTCCAGGCCGGAGCCTTCTACCCAACTAGACCAGCCTGTTAGAAATCAAAGCAAGCCAGGAATCTCTAGTCTGATCCTCCTTTAGTAATGTAGAGGTCACATGGTTTTCCCCACCAGTATGGGTTCCATTATGTCTTTAGCTGTGATGTGTGGAGTCAAATTGTGTACCAAGTGAGGTACAATACAAATTGATTATCAATACTAGAGAAGGGTAATCAGGTGCATTATCAGAAACAAAACAGTTTGGAACCGAAATCAGAGTTGAAGAGTCAAGAGTACTCCCTTGCCTTTTTATTAAATTGAGAACAGCTTCGTACTACCCAAAATTTCCAATGATTTAAGTCTGGTTTAGATTTTTGACAAAACCTTACTATTTTTTAGTTTCAATGTAGGAAAATCAGTTGATTGACAAAGAAAAGCTTCCTGATTTGATAACCACTTTCTTGGCAGCTAGTAGCTGGTCTAACACAGGGAGGAAGTGAAAGGAGGGATGAGAACTGAGAAATGAAAGAAGAAGTGGGAAGCAAGCCAGGATGCTAGGAATCATCAGTGGTTGGAATATGAGAAAAGTAGTCACTGGCTTTATGGCCAGACAGTTTCATGTGGGAAAGAATGCCTCTAGAAAAATGTAATGATAGGGATATTTCTGAGAAATAATCACTTACTTAAATATGTCTTCCTTTAAAAAAAAAAAAGCAAAATTCAAGAAAAAAAAGTTCCTTAGCCTCTATAAATTGCTTTTGTTGGCTGATGTGCAAGCCAGATTAATTCTTAATATACCAATATTCAAATTATGTGTCCCTAAAAAAATAGCCAGCATCATTATTAGCCAGTGATACCTGTTTACAACTTCCAATTATCATTGTACCATTGCAGCATTACAATGGAAATCCTCTAACACATACCTCAGGTTTTAGGTGGTAAGTAATGAATTTGTAGATAAAGAAGTGTGGTACAAAAAGTATATGAATGTAGGGAGAAAAGCCAATTTTGCTGCTAATCAGCTCTGAGAGCTCGAACAAACCAGTTTTCTGGGATCACAGCTTCCTAACTTTTGGTCTGAAGAACTGCAATATGCTTCAAAACAGTTTCCTACCTTCCACACTTCTCTGACTCACTTAAAATGCAATCTAATCAAGTCTCTCTCCTGCTTAAAACATATTAATGGGGTTGCTTTAGCAGATCCATCCTTTCATTTCTTTCATTCACACTATTTATTGAGGGCCAACATGTGCTCAAGCATGGAACACAAGGTCCTTCATAACGGGGTCTTTTTAAATGGAAACTCCTTAAAAAATACTTTCTTTTCTAGCAATATTGATTATTCCCAGTTGTCTTGATACCTACTGGTCTTTCCCTTCTACTCATTACCTTTCCTATCACTGTATACCCTGCCTGATGCCCTTCCTTCTTCTTGTTAATATGACCACATACTAATCATCCTTCAGTGAAGACCCAGGTTGGATATATTCTTGTCTGTGAAGATATCCTGATTACCTAAATTCTTTCCTATCCCCAAGAGAAAAGTTTCTCTCTCTCATCCTGCAATCCCATAGCATTTTGCACATTTTTCACACAATATTTGTCCCATTGTCTTGTAGTTATTGGTATATATTCTCTATCAGGAAACTAAGTTTTCAAATACAGAGATTGTGTTGAAATCAACATTGATAAGAAGTAGATTACAGATTATATTCATTTATAAATAAATAGCACCCAGTTGAAATATATTATGGTTCTAATTTAGAGAGCTTTTAGCCTCCGCTGTGAAAGGAGGTCCCTTTTTTCTGATATGTGTGACCATTAGTTGACATATGATTCTTTTGTTGCCATGTAGAACAATCATATTACTATCAAACTATTGAAAATACACCTTAGTCAAACTGCTATAGCCATCATCAGCATGTGTCACAGGAGTTTGCTATGTATCACGATATATGTCAAATATAACTTGACAGCTTTGAATTAAGTGTAAGATTAACTCATATAACACCAAAGTCTAAGTGCTATTTTGAGCCATCTATGCTATAACAAAATTCAAGTGAATGAATTCACATTTTCACAATAGTTCAGGCTCTCTAGATTATTTTACTACCTACCTAATAAAATTGATTCAATCAGTAGGTCTGTACAGAAGACTCAAACCACTCTTCAGTACTTCCAAATTTCCAGCCTTTGTTTTATTTAATATTTACTGATGATTTATTGCCATTTGTATCACAATTCATGGCAGTAAATTTTGAGGATATTTGAACGAATACATTTATGTTTATAATCCATGACTGAAGAATACAGATTAAATTTTAATGATTATTTGGAATGCTTTGTGCCATAGTGAGTTATTATTACTCAGAAAATGTTTCCACTAGGTATTTTTAAACAGAAAAAGGTGACGAATCACTGTTACAGAAATGATATTAGTATTCCTGTGAGAGTGGCTTAATTTGCTATCCTTGTAATTTTCAGTACAAAGAGTCACTTGTAGAATGATAAAAGTTTTTCTAGTTAAATGTTCAAGCTACTTTTATAGTGTAAGGTATCATTTATGTTATTGAGAAGTATTTCTTGGATGCTACATAGACACATGGCACATACAGTTTTCTAAATGAGATAAATAATAGATTATTGGCAGCTTTAATAGCAACTGGAAATTCCAGATACAGAGATAGTTTGGAGAGGGAGGAGAGAGCCCAATAATGAATTTGTTTTTTTTTTTTTTT